TGGGCGCTGACAACAGCCCAAGCAACAGCAGTGGCCATGGAAACTGGCTTTTGCACTGGACAAGGTCAGACATCTTAGGTCTGGGAGGCATCTCCCGAAGCCAAGGGCATAGCACAGGGGGACAGTGGGAGGTGGCTGCAAAAGACCCAGGGTCCTAGGTGCTAAGGCAAATGGGCTTAGAGTTCCAAGCATGGGACCAGAACAAGTCTTTCCATTGCTGATGTGCCTAAGGGACATCTGCTGAGAACACACGAGAACCACGGAAGAGCCTGTAACATTCTGAAGCTGCCAGTGCCCACTAGAGAGAGCTGAAAGAGATAGTATGAGCGCCTGTGATCATTCAGATCTGCACAGAGTAGGCATGAAGAGCAGTATGTGAGACTCGGTTTTTTCTAGCTTGAGTATTTGGACATTTGCCGGTGTTTGGCAAGTCAATGTGAAGTTTAGATCCATGATATGATTGCCAAACTCAGTCCTATCCATGGCTTTTGTCTTTGCTTTTTGCTCTGCCTGGATCACTGCCCTATGGGACCTTTTCTGGGCCCTCTTCCTCATATTGTTTACATCTCCTTGCCTCTGGGTGACGTTCCCTGACCATCTTTTCCAAAATACCCCCTGCCATCGCTTACCCATTCCTTTCCCCAAGCTACTTCTCTTCCAGCACTTAGCAGGATCCGAAACCATGCCATTGGTTTATGTTACCTCCCTTCTGGAATGTGAGCCCTCTCAAGGTGGGATCTGAGGACTGCCATGTCCTCAGATCCTAAAACAGGGCCCATTACTTAGCAGATGGTCAATTAACATACGCCACAGGAAGAAAGGAAGGGACGGGCCAGGGAGAACAGAAGCAGCTCTCTCCTAGGAAGGGTGGAACCCAAAGACACTGAGTGCGCACATGTGTACGTGAGGATAAACATCACGAATAAAGAAAAAGTAGTAACCCAAGAATGTTAGAAACTAGCTTAGAATGCTACCCCCAAACCAAGAATAGGCACTGCAAGCAAGGCTGAATGCCACCTTCACTCGGAGGAGGGCAAGCTGTTAAAACTTTCCAGCAACTTCTCAAAGGGAGAATAGACTTTCTTTTGTTATTGTTTGTTTGTTTTTTAAAGATGGAAGCTGACCTTTCTTTTCAAAGAAAACAATCACATAACTAGCATTTCATTTAAAATGCCTAAGTCCTAAAACTTCAGGATTCAGATAATATGAAACATCTAGAGCTGGCTGTTTCTAGCTTCTGGCTCTGTTGTATATAGCCCTCCATATTTCCGGAGGGGAGCAGCCCCTGTAAAGCAGAAGTGGTTCACTTTTGACTTGTTAAGGATAAGACCAGAAGACAAATAATTTTGTTTTCCAGTGTGCTAGAAGATGGAGTAGACTTCAACGTCCACTTGTATTTGACTGACAATTTTTGGTAGTTGATATACTTTAGCTAATTGGTCAGTCTTCTCATGAGCTTAAGCATCATATTTTCTCATTCACTGCTATTTATAAAGCACACACTATGTAACAGACAAAGTGCTAAATGTATATGTCTCATTAACTCATATCCTGTTTCGTGAACACTAACTATGTACCTACTGGTATCTATAGACCTGGGTGAGAAACAAAGATAACTCAGACAGGTTTCCTATTTCCTGGAGCCATGATCTGGCCAAGCTCATGGAACTTGATACTGATTTTTAGTGAACTTAAAAGTATGGGATCATATTATTGGTACTGAGGACAGACAAAGGAAAATGATAGAAAGAAAAAAGGATCAAGAAGATGAAGAGCTAATGGTGAGGAGAAAGATATTCTGGGGTTGGAAGACTAAGAAGATAATGACTGACCTCATTTACAACCCAAAGGAGACACAGGGAAAGGATGTAGTTTAAAAGCATAGCCTTTAGTTCCACCATGATCCATAGCAACCTAGTGTTTTGAATGGATTCAGCTTGGCATGACCATCGCCATCTTGAATTATAACCACTGTGACCACCCTGATAATCCTGATTGGTTTTTCCCTGCATAGTTTCTCAGCATGCTATAAATAGACAAAACCAACAGAGTGGCATGTGGAGCTTTAGAACTGGACTCTGGTGCCAGGAATGTGCTGAGTCTTCTGATAGTAGCTTGAGATAAACCAGGTACATTAAGGCTTGGATGAAGTCACTTTTGTCTTGACCACTTTATAAGCCCTCATTTTTCTGATCCAAATCTCAAGGATCCACCTGTTCTCACTGCCATCAGGAACATGCTTCCATCAGTAAATTCCCAATAAATTTCACTCTGTGTTCTTGCAGGCTCCCTGTCTCTTTTCTTCAGTCTTAGGGTGACTTCAGATCTGTTCCAATGCCACTGGCGCTGGGCCTGAAGGATACACCAGGACGGCAGTCCTTCAGAACATATTATGTTCCATGCTGACTTTAATTGCAATATAAAGGAGGAACAGAAAGCTTTCCAAAGGGCAAAATAGATCTCTAAAGCATATTAAATATTCAATAATAATACAGTCATCTGAGGTAGACAAAAGAAAGTTTGTGAACATTAGGACTCACATTGATTTAAGAAATTATTCATACCTAAGGTTATAAAATCATTTCACTCAAAATAATACATTAAGATGACAGTTACTCTGTTGTCATCTTTCATCTGCTCTAATGGGTCCAGGCAACAATGCATGAGTAAAGCACAAACTCTTAAAAAATATTAATACAAGAGTATGGACCATGTGCCATCAAAAAGAACCACTAAGCCTTTAATTACTTAAAGGCTTGCACAAGGAGGACAGTCATCCAAACTAGAAGCTCATTCTATGCCCTAAGTTACACTTAAAGAGGAAATGGTGGCTGTGTTCTCTTAGATGGATGTGTAAAGTACTTAAAGAGGTCCCACAAATGAAGTGGGTACTTCACTGAAAAAAACTAAAAGCAGGAAGAGAGGACCAGTAACCTGCACAGAGTCTCCATGGAGATTCTATCTAACCTTAACAACAGCAGAAACAACAGCGGGCACTGATGGCATTTTCTCTGCAGCATACATTTTGCATAGACTCAGTAAGTAGGCACCGATGTTATACATACTTCACCGAAGCCGTGCAAGGCATGCCACTGGCTCATTTTCTCCTCACTGGCCCTTCTTACCCTCAGGTTGAGCAGCTGTGAAAAGTCATGGCATTTATCTTGGGCTTGGTTACATTAGCCTTGCAAATAAATGCCAACAAAAATACTTATTAAAAAAAAAACCCACAAAAAATGGCTTGTCCTTTCCCCTGTGGACGTAGATAGAATGAAAATAAATGAAGCCATCGTTCTTTATTGTATCCTGGCATGAATCTTGAGTCTGTTTTGGAGATTACTTCTGGATAGAAAATTCCTATTTTTATGTATTTTTATGCATTTATAAGACTCATTTCAATTGGGCCTTATGCCATAAAACACAAGGGAACAGCAATAATTCAAAAATGAAGATAAATTTTTGAAGTAGAAGCAGTATTGTGATTCAGAAAAGGGGTAAAAAGAGAAATAATGCTGGATTCAGCAAGATTGGATAACCCATGAGGGAAGGTCTACAGGAAGCTGTTACAGGTGGGAAAAGAAAATGTCACTTTTCAGATGAGAGCTACCAACTGGCCACAGTGCATTGGACTTGGTCTGAACGTTTATGGTTAATTATGCCGTGTGTGGTTTGCAAATCCTGGGCTCCAAACTGAAAAACTGTGTTTCCATAGAAACCCAGATTTTTCTTGGCTTCTTTTAAAATCCAAGCTCAGACCAGGCCCCATTTCCACTTGAGGTCAGTTGGCACCAGCTTGCTGGCCTTTGACCTTAAGACAGTCGGTGACGTCTTCAGCTGTCTTTGACCCCATCCCTCCTGTGACCCTGCTGGACTGCTTTGCTCATTTGCATTAGCTGCAGTCCTCACTGACTGCAGATTTTGTGACTTTCACCCATAAACCCAGACTATTCACAAGAGACCAAACTGAAGCTCGCACTACTGACTGATTGACATTTGCCAGTTGCCGGCACCCCAAGTAACTCAGTAAATCCAAGTCCCAAATATTAGTTCCTCTGTCCTCTCAAAAGCCAGCTGCATTAAATTATAGACACCCAACTTTTGAGACTCTTGTCATCAAGCAGTGGGGGTCTCTTTCTCTTGAGTCTAGGCTCCTTGGGCTCTGTGACTGCTCCAATAATAGCCTGTGGCAGAAATGGTGCTCCCAGGACTGTGATCCAGATATGGTTTGAGTACGAGTGTCCTCCAGGACTTGTGTGTTGGAATTTTGGCCCTTAGTGCAGTGATGTTGTAAAATCTTAAGAGATGAGGGCAGTGTGAGGTCACTGGGTCATTGGAGTGCTGCTCTGAGAAAGGTCTAAGGTGTGGGACTCCAAGTTAGTTCTCTTACGAGTGAATTGCTATTAAAGAGCTCCTTCCACCATGACCTGACTTTCTTTCTGGTGATGCTGTCACTTTCTAAGAAGATGCATGATCACCATGGTGCAGTTAATGTTAAAACCATGCCTTTGGACTTTCAGAACTGTGAGCTAAGTAAACGTTTTTCATTATAAAGCACATAGCCTCTGGTATTCTATAACAGGAGTGGTAAACTGACTAATACAGTCAATTCCCAGGCCAACCTTAAAAAACTGGTTATTTCTACTGTCTGTCCCTTGGAGTACTTGCTCCTAGAATTATGTCATCATGATATGAGGAAGCTCAAGCTACTTTCTGTAGAGACTTACATGGGAAAGACACAGTCAGCATCAACTAGCCAGGTGAGTGAGCCCTAATGGAGCTCCTAGCTTGGTCTCCCCACTAGGTCCTGACCAGATCTTAGATTCCTGAACAAAATTAATGACTTGTTTTAAGCCCACAGTGTTGGGACGAGTTGTTCTGCCGCCGTCAATAAACAGAACACGCCCTGGTCTGAGAACTGGACTGGAAAGGCTTCCCCAGTAAATGGACATGAACTAGGAAGTTAGCATGTCCAAGCCATGTCCACATCTTGCCCTTCTCACCTGGCCGATGTGCCTTTGGAACTGCCATGTTTGTTACTCGCCCTCCATCCTGAGGTTTGGGGGGAGATGCAGTGAACCTGCAGATCCCAGATTCTGAAGGGGTGCTGGAGGTCAGACTGTCTGTGTACTCATTTGTCCCTGCCGTCAGCTGCTCAGATGACGTGTCAGATATGAAGCACTCTGTGATCGTGAACTTGGCGTGCCTCAGCTGCTCTTCCATCTTGGCATGTTCGTAGGCCCTGGCCAGTTCTTCGTAGGTGGAGGAGGCACTTTCTGTGGAGACCATGCTGCTTCTTGCTCGGTCTACACCACGGAAAAAAGAAAACAAGGTGGATGACTTAACATCCTAAGCTTGAACCAGCCTGATGACCCTTCCTGGCTTCTAGCTGGTCCTGCAGATCATTGCAGGATATGGCAGGAGGCCTGGCTGTTTGTCAGAGAATTCTGCCTGTCACTCTGAGGCCAGCTTCAGGAGACTCAGCAAATTCAGCTCAGGGAATTCCTTTCACTTGACTCACTGTAGTCAGGTGTTCCAACCCTGGACATTTCCATAAATAAATAATGCATCTGCGTGAAAGAATTCTGCTTTCAGTGAAGACAGTTGGGAAAGTGGTGTCACCGAGCTACAGCCCCCCTCCCTGCTCTGACTTGCAAATTGATGTGCACCGCAGAGACTCTTTAATTGGCATGAATGATTGGAGCTCTGCAGTTCAGATCCTCAGGTCTCAGCTCGGGAACAGAGACAAGACGTGAGGATGAGTAGAAGCTGTGACTTTGCACAAATACTGACCTCCAGGCAGAATGATCCTTCATCCCCATGGCCCTTCCTTTGTTGTTCCCACCAAAGGGGATGAGAAAACAGCCAAGACAAAAACCAGCGCAAATGTGCCTTTTAACTGGGCCCCATCATTTTGGTCAGAGAAATCACTGCATTTTAAAACCTATAAAAGTTTTGAAGTCACCTCTGTGGAACTCTGAGAGGCTTCTAAGAGAAATAACAGACATAAAAATAAATTCCCACGGTGATGCTCCACCTTTGGAATCCTGCTTTTGAAGTATATCATCAAGAACAAAAGAAAAACGAGTATTAAAATTTCCTACAGCGACTGGGTTCAGATATAATTTCTTTTCAAAATTGGGGGGTGGGGGGGTAGGCACCGCAGTGCTATTCTTAGGCCCTGTCTTATCTCAGATGGGAAATCTTGGTGGCTGCTGCCACAGACTAGATGACTTACCTTATAATCAACCCCTGTTTAATTGTCAAATGGATCAGCCTATTTTTCCTACAGAGGAGCTGACCTGGCCATGATGCAACTTCAACTGCAGTGTCTTAAACCTGGAGATGGGAGTGGGTCAGACGCCCTCAGAGTGCCATCAGCAATTACTGAGATGGTGTGGGTGAAAGTTTAAAATCGTGTATATTTCTCCCAGAGGGGTAGGAACTAAAAAGAGAGAGGAGCCTGGCTGAGATTTGGAACACCTGCAAAAGAGATACCTTCTGGTCTGGTTTTGCAGAATTCACTGGGTCTTGCTTGTAGGAAATGCTGCATGGCTGTATCAGGAACTGTTAAAGTTAGTGGCTTAACAGTTTGAAAGTGACCATTACAAGAGAATAAGCAGGGGGAAAGAAGCCTTCTCTCTCCTCATCAAAGAGCCCATGGGGCTCATGATGTGAGGAAGGACTGGGCTTTGCTGGCCCCCAGGGATAAGGAGGAAGCTTGCAGGAACCCACCTGTGTCCTGTGATGGGCTGACACTGTAACTGTCACTCTCCTTGTCCACGGATCCCGTCGCCCTAGGCGTTGGCAACCTCCAGTCTGTGGTGAGGGTGTGTGCTGAGATGGTGGGGTGGGGTCTGTTGAGGGTCCACTGGCTGGCGTACCGGTTTCTGGCTGTGGGCCCAGCCTTTGCATTCCTCCTGGTGGTCGGATCTGTGAAGAGGCAGGGATAATGTGTAACTTTGTGTTCAGGGGAATGTGGCCAGCTGGCGTCAAGTATGAAGGTCATCTGTCTCCAGACCTGACCTTCCCCATGCAGCCCAACACCCCAGGAAGGCTTCCTTGGCTTTTCCTGTCCAGAGCACTCTTCCTTTCTCTCATGTTCTGCCACATTCATCTGATAATTATTCATAAAACTCTGAGGGAGAGTTTGGATTTGAACCTTGGTCTTGGTCTTTAATTATTCTGTGGCTTGATGCACATTCATTTAAATTTTCAGAGAATCAGCCTCTTTGGTAAAATAAGGGCTCTTGACCAACTTTGCTCTACTATGGCTTCCTTTCAGCAATTCCTCACCCTTGAGGTGTTACTATGGTTTAATCATGTCTCCCCAAAATTCTTGTCCATGTTTTAAGCCCAGGATGTAATCTTATTTGGAAAGAGTCATTATAGATGTTATTAATTAAGATGAGGTGATACTGGGGTGTCTAATGTGACTGGTGTCCTTATAAGAAGAGGAGATAGACACAAGAGGGAGACATCTATGTGAGGTTAGAGGCAGAGAATGGGATACTGCTTGTCCCAACATTCTCTTTGCTTTTGACATGTGGAGGCATATCTCTCCAATGGAATTGTGAGAACTTGGACAGATATGACTTGGATCATTGAATATGGAGAACAAAGGGTTAAATGGTATTTGGATTTCATGTGTCTACCATCTGCAAAACCTCAAGGGTTTGTGTGTACATAAGCTGGTGTGCATGAGGGGTCATTATCACTACAGCTGGAGCCAAAGGCAACAAGTTGATGAGGTGGACTGAGCTCAACTCTGGTGAACTGAAGAAAGGGAGGTTCGAAGAGCAAAGAGTGTTGATTCCTGGGGTGGAATTCTGTGGGATAGGGGAGAGGTTCGGTTACCTGGAATGATTTTCCTGGGGCTCCAGCCTGAAGGAAGCTCGAAGTCTTAGATAGGTCTTTTCTATCTTTGACTCAATTTCATGATGGTCTGGTTACTCTGAACACAGTAGCTATTCACCACTCAGTTGTAGTTTCAAAGGAGCACACCAAGAGGCCAACCTGTGACACTGCTGGGGTGATTTAGTTATTTGTTTCTCACAAGCCAGGATGTCTCTCCAGGGAAGGAGCAAGGGCACTCTTGGATATACAGCCTACAATAGTCCCTGGCACACAAAGTTTCCCAAAGGAATTCATACAGTCTAGGGTCATTATGGATGGATCATAGCAGCTCAGAGTCAAGTGACACAGCTCTTAGGTGACAAAACGGAACCCAGAGCTTCTGCCTTTCAGTGCAAGTATTACCTGCTACTTGGCCACAGAAGGCCATATCTTGGCCATCTAAGGCTTTAGCAGTAACTGCATGAGAATGATTTGTTTATAATCCATCTTGGAACATGAGGGGTTGGACAGCAAGGGTTGGGTGGCAAAAGGACCTTCTTTTTAAATGGAAGAGTCTCCTTTCTGCAAAGTTCTTGTTATTGGATTTTGAACCAATCCATATGCTAGGACACTGTCTAGGAGCATTAAGAGGGCAGCCAGATCAATACGTTTTAATATTTCCTGGGTCATCAAAGCACTGTCTTGGTGTGTGTGCTCTGGGCATTGATTTTTAGAGACATTTCATCCCTTACTTGCAAAATTCCACAGAAGGCTTAGATGTTTATGGCCTTGATTAGAATGCAAATGAGTTATGCTGGAGTGTTCAAGCCCTCTACACAACAAGGTGTAAAGGATAATGGTTTCTGCCCTGAAATGTGAGGAAAGAGGTCTTCAACGAGATAGAAAAACACTGTCATGGGTAGGAGGCTAAATGTCTTCCAGGCACTATCAACTTGATAAGTGGAGCTTAAATAAGTGAGGCTTGTTATTTAAATGCTAATGAATCTTTTGCAGAAAATTACCCAGTCCCTTACATAAGTTTTAAGCCATCTCATTTTTATGCTTCTTCAAGTTTCTTTCAGCTACAGCTGCAGATCTTTCTGAGCAGGCTTTCCCCATCCACTGACGGCATTCCCTCTTGAGTTCACTCCCCAGTGGCAGGCAGTGTCTTCCTTTCCACCACACCTTTCCTCACTGAGATCACCCTATTCGGAAAATTCTACTGGCAAGTCATACGTGTCAGTCTGTATTCAAAGCCTGAACTCTTTTCAAGTTAATTTTGTTCATTATCCCTTTTTCCTGGATGAGGACAGTGGTCCCAGTGGCCTGGTAGTGTTGAAAATATAGGTCATGATATTAGGTCCTTCACTGTAGCCTGCAGTCCTGTTCTGAGCTTCAACAGGCACCCTAGAATTGAAATCATCTCGGTATGTGGAATATGAGGGTACCTGACACATTTTTTTTAAGTCAGGTTTTTGGAACCATCGTTTTGTACTTTTATAAGATCGCTTCTGATACAGCAGCTCAAATAAAACTTCTACTTGGATTCCACTCAGTTGTGTGTTTTGCAATTTGCTAGCTCATCTAGTGAACAAATAAATACATTTTGGATTTACTGCCCCTGCCTGAAAAGTATTTTGTTATGCTCCCAGCATTCTAATATACATAAATAAAATGTGCTAATTAAGCATCAACTTGCTAAGCAGCCAATGAGTTAGAGGGCAAGTGATATAAATAACTCTTGGCCTTTAATGGTGGGTCTAAACCTGCATTAAGTTTCTGCCCATTGAATCAAATTATTTTAATTATCCTGAATTTGGGATAAGGGAGGATTTTGTGGATAATAGGGTTACAAAGTGTGTCACGTGTTCTGTGATCATGGTATTAATCTGCTTTTATCCTCTGCTATTGGTTTTCATGTCTTGTGGATGTGGCAGACTCTGCATGAGGCAGGCAGGAAAAGCCTTTGGAGCCGACTTGAGGGGCACACACTGACCCCACTGGCTTTCACTGTGCACTGAGAGCTCTACTGCAGTAACTGCACCAGCCCCTCTAGAATACATGAGGAAGCAGAATGGTAGGATCTAGGTGGTGTACGCCAGGCTGCGCTGGCTCCTGGGATTGCTTCCTGGAGCCTCAGACCAGGAATGACTGGGGTTTAGGTGTTCCCTGCAGCTCTCACCCAGGTGGGTCTTACAATTACCCTGCTCCTGTCGAGCTACATGACTTTGGTGAGTCATCCCAGCTCTCAGGGGCTTGGCTTCCTTGTCTATAAGAGGGACCTTATTATATCTGCACCCTGGACAATTTGAAGACCAGATGCCGGTAACATTGAAATTCTCAGCATTAGGTTTGTCCCACAGTGGTGCTCTGTAGCCACTTGCTAAATCTAAATAGGAATACTTATGCCCTCAGGTTCAAGCAGCATTAATTGATAATAACCTGGGGCCTTAAAAAAAATCAGACTGAGATGCATAAAGGAAAACATGGAGTTGGGGTGAAGCTCAGTGGCAGTGCACTTCCCGAGCGTGTTCTGGACCCTGGGTTTGATCCCCAGTACTATGAGATATATATATTACCAATAGATTACTATTCAGATAAATCAGTTGATTTTTTAAAATACATATGACTGGAGAGAAGAAAAAAACCTTAAAACCAGCTGCTAGCAACTTCCTGTGGACTGAATGGAGCTGAGCAGTAGAGATAACAAGGATGAGAACTGTATCCCCTTCACTTCCCAATTCAGTGCTGCCCGGGTAGACCCTTCATATCCACGGGTTCTGTACCCAAGGGTTCATCCAAGAAAGGATCAAAAATGTCCAGAAAAAGTGTCTCTACTGAGCACGCACAGAATTTTTCTTATCTCCACTCCCTACCCAATAGTGTGATAACAATTTACATAGGACTGGCATTGTATTAGGTATTTAAGGTGTATGTGAGGACAAGCATAGGTATTGTACCAGTTCTGTGCCATTTTACATGAGGGACTTGAGCATCCTTGAATTTGGTGTCCTGGGGGTCTTGGAATCCATACCCCGTGGGTGCTAAAGGACAACCATATTTCATGGGTGCTTTCCAGATGTTCTGTACACAAATGAATAAATGCACAGACGAATGACTCCCAGGTAAATATGACCAAAAAAGAAGACTAAGACTTGTCCATTCACATGTCTTCATATCTTGCACATTTTGCAAATAGAAAAATTGATTTAAGTTTTCCTAGGTAATGATATTGACAAATCTCTACTCCATGCTTGAAGAAGACAATGTATACATTAAAAGATGCTTGTCTCTGGGTGAGGACATGCATGCACCTGTTGAACAGGCACCTCAGGGGAGGGACAGAAAGAAAGGGGAAGTTGATTGCCCAAGTCCTATTTAAGCTACTAACCATGCTTTCTTTTCCATTCCTATTATTCTATTTCAGGACTGGATGATTGATTAGTGCCCACTGTGTGTCAGACACTGTAGCAGATGTTGGGACAAGGACATGACTACAGCCCCTGTTTCGAGTGTACATTATCATCCACAGGAGATAGGGAAGGAAACTGAGTGGAAGGCACAGCCAAGGGATGTGTTTTCACACATCGGAAAAGATAAATAGCAAATTGTTGCTATTTCTCCCATTTTCATAATGAGAATTTGTTGCAACTCTCTGGCCAACCAATAAAGTGTTCAGAAACATAACTTCTGCAACAATCATTCCAGAGTGCAAACAACATATTTTAGATGCTCTTCTTAAAAACAGAGAATTCCTACAATGGCAACACAGTCCTAACATATGACACAGAAGATTAGTGTCTTTTGTAGCTGAGAAAACAGGGGATACTGCCAGCCCTCTGTGTCCTCAGATACCAAAATCCTTGGCTATTTAAGTCCTTTCTATTATGACACATTTGCACATAACTGATGTATGTCCTTCCATTACTTTAAGTAATTTTAGTTACTAATGATACCTGATACAATGTCAGTGCTATGTAAATAGTTGCTATACTGCATTGCTTAGGGACAGATAACAGGGGAAAGGGCTGTAGTAAAGGTGAAATTTATACTTATAAATATTTTTGATTTGTGTTTACCTGACTTCACTGATGTAGAACAGTCAGCCCACTGATGGAGGGCTGACTGTTTAAATGAACTTCTGCAAATCCACCAAACCTCTATGGCAAGGTGTACCCCATGGGCATGAATTAGTGCAGCTGTGACTGACACCTGGGCAGAGGTGGCAAGCTCTGGGCCTGAGAAGCACAGCCACCAGCATGCCTAGTTCTAAATGAGAAATGGAATGCTGCCAGTACCCCACACTGTGGCTTGGGGGAAATATTTAATGACAAAACGATCCCCAAGATCCAGAGTGTTCTGCAGATAATAAGTGAGTAACTTTATCTTTGAGATGAGGGAGGCAACCAGAGACTGGTGCCGGAATTTGCCTTTTAATGGCATTCATCCCTAAGGAAAGAAGCACTGTTTTTAAGCTGTACTGTTGCTGTGAGGCAATGGGGCTGAGCTCCTGGAGAGCACCCCAGCACACTCAGAATGAAACACAGACATGGCCTGGCCTGGCAGGCTCTGAGGTCAGGGTAGCCATTTCACTCTTTTTCTCTTACCACTTTCCTGGCTGCTCACTGTATCCAACAGTTACATCTGTCCCCAGACTGGAGAGCCTCGGGGATTTTCTCTCTGCTCCCTCAGTGACAAGCCAGCTCCTGCTTGGCCTCTGATCTTGGTTCATGCCTCTGAGGTCTTCCCAAACAACAAGATCCAGGCAGCTCCCTCCCACTGCCTCCACACCCCATCAACTCTCCATCTCTTCCTTCTGTTCTATTTTTACCCAATACTTTCTGGGAAATAAAAATTTAATACTGTAGTTTCTTGTTTAATGTCTGCCTTTCCCACCAGGATGAAATGAATAGCTCTTTGCATTTTGCTCACACCGTATCCTCTTCACTGAGCACTGAACCCTATATGTAAAGTAAACCCTAAATAAATATATTTGAATGCTCAATGAATGAATTCTTAAACTTCCCCAGTGATGGCTTAACAACTTTATAGCCATGAGACTCCTCCGAGGAATCTCCTGCCTGCCACTCTTCTGCCAGTTTATAGTTTCTGTGTGTGACTCAGATTCATATTCTGTTGACATTTTAAATGCTATCAAAGCCACTCCCAGTATTCTGGGACTTCTTATTCATGCATCTGGAAGGTTCCTGGTGCTTTGGTATCACTACCTCGTCTCTTGCCTTAACTGTTTATGACTGGTCCTTATGTATTTCTCTGGGCAGTGAACATTGAGAGAAAGGAAGGTGGAAGTGCATATTGCTTTTTACCTGGCAGAAAGAACTGATGTGATGTGAGCATGGCAGGCTTGAGGGATCCCACTGTGCTGTGCTAATGGGGCAGGGCAGAAACTTCTTCTTATGTCCTCCAGGACATCTTTGTAACATCTTTGTAAACCCCAATGAGAGGTCCAGACTAGCACATTATAATCACCCAGGAGGATTTTACGGTACAGATTCTTGTGACCTCTCCTAATCCAACTGGACCAGAATTCCCAGGTGGAACCCTGCAATTTGTATTTTCAATAGGCTCCCAAGCAAGTCTGATGTACACAAAAAGTAGGAAATATTGTCCTGCATTCTCTGCCTGTTTCTTGGTCTCCAGCTACTGTTTCCAGCATCTTCCATGCTGACAGATAAGGCCCTTCCTTTTTTAACATCAAAAAGTGGCTCAGAAACCTGTCAAGGCAGTGCCTTGAAGTAGCTGAAAGCAGACCAGACTGATCACAGGGGTGAAAGGCACTCAAGAGATGTCAGTGGCCTTGAGGCATCATTGAAGAGCCAGGCTCACACACACACACACACTTTGGTTGTGCTATTTCTCACTTATGCTCCAATCGTGTCTTCAGAATTCACCAATGTCCTCAAAGAGGGAAGATGGTGAGGTTAGACACGAGAAAGTGGCACAATATGACTTCAGTGGCTCTTAAAAACACTTCTTCAAACGACTTTCAATACTGGTTGAAACTCCTTCTTGTCTATTACAACATTATTTGGTAACCAATTGCTTTGCTCCATGCAGCTCACTGCATTTCATAAACTCTTTGCAAGCTGGAATTTATAACGAATAGCTTTCAACATTATACTATTTATTTTTCTAATGTTAATATACTACTCTTAGAATGCAAATTTTTGCAAAGAGAGTGACATCAAAGCTTCCTAAGTGATAATAACTGGGACATCAATTTCTCAGTCTTTAAAGCGATTTAGGAACAGTTTCAATTATGAAGAAACGAGAATCTCTAATTCATAAGCTCTAAACACATATTAGGGGATTTCACCAAATTGAAGTAATTAATTTCCATATATATTATGAATACAAATATAAATAACTAAACCAAATGTAATCTCCAGATTAGCCAGGACTATAATTATTCTCAGGGTGTTGGGTTGTTTTCCTGACTTCTCTGAGACTCTGTTTTTCCTCTCAGGGACTATGGCCTCTACTTCATGACCAGGTACCTTGCAAGTTTGTTGCAGATAACACACGTGACGTCATCTTTGTATGCCAATGCTGGCATAGGATAGACACATACACCCTTCCCTTTCCCTGTGTTGTCTAAACTTTTTTTAAAAATTAAACCGACCTTCAATTTCTTGCATTTTCCAAAGGAAACCAATACCAAGATCTATTGGCTTTGATTGACAAAAGTCTAATAGTAGCTAGGATCAAATAATAAAAATTCAATATACCGATTAGTATGTCATTACATCAATTTGTTTCTTAGGTGTGGAGTTACAAAAAAAAAAAAAAAAAACCACCCACGTTATCTTTTGGCCCAGATAGAATGCTAATGTTATCAGCATTGGTAACACCCACACATTGTAAGTGCTGTTGACCACTCACTCGTTCCCGGCCGAGCATCCGAAACGTCCACTAGGGGCCCAGTGGCCTGAGACACAGATTGGTAATGGACCGTGTGAGTCACCGTCAGGGACTTCTGTTTCGCTGCCTCTCCAAAGTCAGCATCCGTGAGTAGGACCGTGGAGCGGTCATCTACAGAAGAGTCAGACATGTTTATGGTCCTTCAAATCACTCCCTGGTCTTTTCTCTCCTTAGGCACTTTTATTATTGTCCATGACAAAAATGATAAGACCCTCATCTAAACAATGAAAATGGCTAAGAATTTAAGTACTCTATGAGAATCACCCTGGAATCTCAAATATCATAGCTTAGGCTGGAAGTCAGCTTGGAGCTGGAGTCACAGAGAAGGGTCCATATGCCAAGAAGGCTCTCTCCTCTCTCTTTGGGTTTAGTTTTAGTTTAATTAAACAATCACTGGATGTTGTGACTGCCCATTTAATATAGTTTTGGGTTTCTAAGTTTGTCAGTGGCTCACTGAGACATGGTCAGCAATGGCAGTATCCCAGTGACTAGGCTGCCATTGAAAATGGGACCCTTTGTCTGTTAGAAGGCTCTGTTTGGGAAACACCAGTGCAGTTCTCTACCTTGGGGTTGCCCCTCACATTGAACTTGGCAAATGTATGGAGGGAAAAAGGCAAGAATAGTTCTTCTTCAGAACTCATGGATCTCTCTACTTTAGAGGAATGGCATGTGTTCTTTACCTTCCCACCTCTTGTAAGCTTTAACTACTCCAGTACATGCTTTAATTGACTTCTCCTAAAATGACTCATTTATCACATTTCCAGAGTCCTAAGGGCGTAGGCTCTGGAAGATTAGAGAGGCAGGAGCCTGGGTTCTGGAGAATTCTGCATGCAGAATTCCAATCAAGAGTGCTGCCTGGGCTGTGCCGTTATTTGATTGTCTCAGGATTGCATTATTTTGTTGTGATACTCTTTACACTTTCTTAAGAGCTCTTTTACTCCAAGGGAAACTTTGGTGAGGATAGATGGATTTTCCCTGAATTTTCAAGGCCTGCAGCCCAGGATGATGTGCAGATGAGTTTGTCAGTCAGCCAGGACCTGCTTCAGCATGTCTGACACCAGAATGGTGATGTGAATAGCATAAACAACACAGCGAGGCTTCTGTGCCCAAAAAAGGCTCTGAACAGAGTGAACCTTACCAAATCCAATTACCCAGGCTCTGGCAGGAAAGGAAAGCCTCTTGCAGTTCGAATCAAATTTCTTGGCATAGGATTGGAGGAAAGGCTGCCAAGCTATCTACTAGCATCCCCACCGGGTGTGCAGCACAGGACGGTACCATGACGGGTTCCAGGGCTCTGCTTGGAGGTCTGGCCCCACTGCTGTCACTTGAGCCCTCAAAGAGGATGGCCTTTCTACAGACAGTGCCAGCCAATCAGAGCTGGCATCAGAGGCCCCACATTTTTCATTGCTAACATGGATGCATTTTAGTTTCTGATGGGCAGCCCTCTTAAGAGCAGGGTTGGCTCTCATGCCTTTGGTGAGATCTACAGGGCTGGCAACCAAACCTTCAGGAGGAAACCTCAGGTCCCTGTCATTGTGACATTAGCCATTTATCCTGGCCTGAAATTAATGACAGTCTCATGTTGGATTCTTGAATCCAGAACTCAGAGAATTGTAAAGGTCTGTAGGGCTACTTTCATAAGAATTAGAACACGCCATTACCCCACTGCTTGGCACATGGGGAGGTAAATGTCCCTTGGCTCTACAAGAGCAGACTGAAGGATCTCTGGCCATAGGTCATGGTTCCATACAGAAATGACTGGAAGACTTTCTGGTGTTAAACCAGCAATGACCAGGTCCTGTGTCACTCATGGGATCCATCAGTGACATGTCCCAATGGTCATAAGTAGAACTACTAGAGCATCTAGTTAAGTGCACTTAGTAAACATTGCAACCATCATGACCCCGGCAAGCTATGCAACCTCTACCTTTGGTTAGAGAGTATCTCTGCATTTTGTGCTTATGAAAGTACATGGTCAAATGCATTACCTTTGTATTTGTGAACTGATACTTCAAAAGTAATTTTATTTCTAATGCCCAATCTATTGAGCGAAATAAAAGGGATTCCAGAATGTCTAAAATAATGATAATCAAAAGCAAAACATGATGTCTTATCCTCACTGAGAAAAACTAATGATATCTCCTGCATTTTAGAGCAAGTACCCACCCCCAACATGGGAAGTCAATATTTGACAGAAGTCAGTTGAATTAGGGCTGTGTTGGACTGGACCAGCCTTTCTCTAAATGCTGCTATATCAGTCCAGGGAACGCTGCCCAGGCCTTGGAATCTAGGACTTGTGGTAAGGGGCCAGGTGGGTGAAGGTGACAAGGGAGACCATCTATCACAGCCTCTGGCAAGAGGCACCTAGGGAGTGTGATAGGAGTCAGTGTGTGGTATCCAGACAACAGGAAAGGGTTTGTCTGCCACCAAGTGCCAGGAAACACCTTTCAAATCAAGCACGGTATGAGAGGCAGTCACAGAACCTGCCTCAGAATCTGTTTCCTTTGGTTCTGGAAAGCTTAGCAGAATTCAGAGGTTTCTGGAAGTGGTCTGTTGGTATGGAAGAAGGCAGCAATGACCTGTCCCTGGAGGCAGATTGCATGGTGGGGAAGCAGGTGGTCAGGTGGGGACCCTAGTTCTGCTCCTGTCTGTGAGACCTTGGCCAGCTATGCAAACCTCTCTACATCTCAGTTACAAAAGTGGAACCTTTTCCACGAGCTAGTTGGAAATTTAAACCAAACAATGCACATAATGTGCTTATAAAAGTCAATAAATGTTAGCAATATTGATTGTTATTGAATGGAAGGAGGCAGGACAGAGTTAAAGCATCTGATTCTGGGTGGACAAGCCATAGCACATCTTCCATGGCTGTTCCAAGACTAAGAAACAAGGGAGCTGACTTCCCACAGCCCAGGAGGACACAGGGTGTTGGGAAGTGGGGGAGACATCTTGTGCAGAGACGTTTACTTATTTGAGTGCATAGTAGAGTTCAAAGGTTTATTTAGTGGAGGCTGGCCTTATCAGAATTGATGACTTGGATTTCCAAGATGGGGCTTTGGTGTTCCAGCCTTCTGGGTTTGTTTCATTACAGCTCCTTATTCTTTGGAGCAGCATAAATTGTTTCCTCATGAAAGACCCAGAGCAGATCAGAGCTGGGAACCCTTGTCACAGGAGATCACTGAGGTGTACCTAAGTTAATTTCCACACAGCTGCTGGTGCTTGTTATTTCCTTCAGCTTTGGTACTGATAGAGCATTCAGGACATTCTCCTATCTAGTAATTCCCATGCTCCCTGTTTGGGTTGAGAAGACATGGTTGTCACAGGCAAATCAGTGCAGTGGCAGGCAGGGTACCTTACCAATGGTCTCCATTGTGTCTCTCTCTTCAATCAAAAGCTGAGCCCGGGGTATGTCGATGTGCATCCTCAGAGTCTGTTGTTGCTTGCTTAAGGTGTCTGAGGTCCGAGTGTTCTTACTGGGAATAAGAGGGGGGGGTGTTAACACACACAGTTCAGTGGTATGGTACACCAATGCATGTCTCTACGCCATCTTGCTTTACTGTTCAGTTATGACAATGGCTTGGGGGGAGGGGAGGGAAAAATAAACATGATATGAGATTTTTTCCTTCATTTAAATGTTATTTATTAATATTAAATGTCAGCAATCCAAGGAGATTCAGAAAATACAGATAAGAATTTCCCACCGTTTGTAAGATATGAGACTTTCCAGTGATGGCAATGGAGGATGTGTGCAAACCAGCTGATCACTGGATGCTGGTTTAACTAATGGATTTCTTTTTTTATCTGGTGTCATTTTATTTTTGTTCTACTAGCAGATCACAAACCTTGTTAGCTTCCCTGACATTAGTTCGGTTTCCCTAACTGATAATGCATTTTGGAATAAGAAAAAAAATGCAATTACTATAATAATTTTGTCTCAAAATTTGTGTTCCAGAAAATTACTCTGAGAGTGAGCTAGTCTCTAAAACTGAAGGAAAATATGTGGTAAAGCTGCATGGGATAGACATATTCAGTTACAGCCTTCAGTAAAAAAAAGTCTTCCATGTTGTTCAGAAATCTAAAAAATACCCAATAAAGTCCCTAATTAATAATCCTTATTAGGAGGATGGCTGTTCAGTTTTTACAAAGTAGAAGAATTTTCTAGATGTTAAAGTAATGTTTACTGAAACCCCCTCTATGAAGCAGCAGTCGTTGGGATAATTCATTCAACAAGAGTATAGCACATACAAATGTAGCTCAATGATTGTCAATATCTGTTTTGATAAAGGTTTCTGGAGCCTCCTTTACTCCATGATGGTTTTGCTCTGTCTTAGGCACTTTCGACAGAGAACAGGAAAGGTCTCCACACTGCATCTCAAAGGCTCTAACCACGTAGCTCACATGGAGCCCAAGACAATGTCTGCACGGATCCTTCTTTCTCCACGCCTAAACCTAAAGGGTGAGGGAACTTTAATACTGTGGAAGTCAAGTTCACTCAGCAGCCCCTGCAACCCTGCCTGTTAAAGTCCGTGCTAATAGTCTGAATGTTTTATGATGCCCCTGAACAATGAAACTTCTGAAAGGGGCAGCATGCCTCTGAGGACTTGGTCTTGAACCAGATTTCCTGCTCTGCAGATGAGTAACTGGGTTATGCGTCTAGATCATGCTTATTACTCAGAGCCCACAGGCAGGCATTTTGGCCTGATTTCTCACATGGTCTCTATACTGCTTCAAATTACTTAACTAATTTCTCCTTTCACTTGTGGTTAAGAAGAAGAAAAGAAGGCGGAGATTCAAATCATGGTGTACCACAAAGAGCATTTTGGTTCCGTGGGGGGATGCATTTCTGTCATGCTTAGACAAGCTATGTTTCCGCAAAACATATGAGGAGCTACTCCTCTGTGAATACCCGAAAGATCTGTTTAGAAACTTCACTAGGGACTTGAGCTTGTCCTTGTACCAAAAATAGAAGTGTGAGCTAGTTCCTTCTGCTCATCGTGAGTAGTTATGAGGCAGTCAGTGGCTGTTCTATTAAACAAGGATGAGCACCAAGCACAGGCTATACTTAAACAACAATAAGGGGTCTGCTGTCAGACTGACACAGGAAGCAAGCTAAATAACTGCTGTGAATGCAGCTACTAGCACAAAGACCAAATAGGATTACACCTTGCGAACAAGGACAGTCAAGGCTGGAGGTAAATTTCTCCTTCCTCTCCAGACTGTGCTGCCAGGCCCTGCGGTGGGAGAGTAAGAAAACGGTGCAATGAACCTTGAGATTCAGGGGCTAATTTTTCCTCCTTCACTTTGCTCTTGATATTCCCTTTTGCATGGAATACATGCTCCACCCCCCTCTCCCAACACTCATGTGATTGGCTCCCTTTCTTTTCTTGCAAGATTTTACAGCCACCATCTTTGCCATGGGCCAGAATGGCCTTGCTGTGGGAAGTCTTCCTTCCTGAGTCCTCTCCCTATTCTCTACTTAATTTTGTCTCCTTGGCACTTATTACTCTCCAGCATATATTTAATTGTGTCAATTAGATATAGTTAATTGATTTATTTTATTCATTACTCATCTCTCCTCCTGGAATATACACTCCACTAGGGATATCTTGTATGTTTCTAGAACCCAGAATAGCATGCAGTCAAAGGAGGTGCTCAATGAACATTTATCAAGTAAATCATGCCATCTTGGGGGTACAATGTGAGTTGAATGACATGTCCCCAAAGACTTTGCTATGGGTTAACAATATCTTTCCCATTTTAAAATATTGGGTGTCTACTAGCTGCTTCATTATATTAATCTTTGCTTCCATATTTGGTTTCCTATCATTACCTGAAGGATGAGCCTTGGGATTATAATTGGTCTTTGCAACAGCAACAAACCTTTAAAACAGTTATTTGAAGAAAACTTATTTGCAATCTGGAAGATTATAAATGTTTTTATTGTGGAAAATTGCCAATTTTAAACAAAATGGGATCTTTCAAAATGCATTAATTATTGTTGAAATACAAATCTTTGGTTGTACATTGCCATCTGGCTGTTTGATTAAAGTGGCACTGATGGGGAAAACTGAAGGTGGTTTACAAAGTGCAGTGATTCCCAGCTCAGCCAACAAATTACTAGTGGTCACTACAACTCTTTAAAATCTTTCTAATTCCTTTAAGTTGTGTGTGGGAAACTAATGTTTTTATAGCTCCCTCCAAAATTGATATGAACATCTTCAAGTAGAAAAAACTGTAGATAGAATCATGTCATTTTGACACCTGGAAGGACATTTTTATTACATCGTAAAAATATGAACATCAAAAAAAGCTAACCTAATTTCAACTCTCCATTTGAGCTTTTCATGGCTTATCACCATCTCATTCTAGTGTTAATATTTGGCCATTAAACCCATGTCAATTAGTTCCTTATCTATTAGAAGGCTGGTATGTTTTAAATAAGTATTCTTGTCTAAATATATAAAAGGAAAATCTTTCTATCTGAGTGTGATGGATTAAGATTCTTTTCTCTGGCATATTTGCTTGGGTGAAATAGATGGATGTCTGGGCTTATGAAGTCCTGCTATGAGCAATTGTGCTGTGTGAGGGGTCTCTGGAGAGTCCTGATGTCGGTGCCTATCCTTCTGCTGACTCTCATCTGTCTTTCCAGTCTAAGATAGCTAATCCCACTGAAATATGCAAATATGTTGTGGACCATGGTTTAAAAACAAATGCTATACTCACCTAGATCACAGAAAGATAAAGCTAGGAATAGTATTGACTTTGATTTAGATGAAGAAAGCAAGAAGCAGAGTGGTACAATGATTTGCTCAAGATCAGAAAACCAGCTACCAGCCTATGATGCCTAGCACAGGCTAGTGGCTCCGTTTTCCTCATGGCACCAAGTCTGCCCAGTCCTCAGCTGTCTAGAAAACACAAAAGCCAAGATCAGGGACAGAAATTCAGTGCCCTCTTCACTGATGGACTTAAATCACCTGGGCTACTTCCAACATGTGGGTGGTCCTAAATTGACCAGGTCTTTGGTTGCCTGGCTATTGAAGTTGTCAAACTTAGGTTGGATCAACTCTTCAACAATCATGGCTTTTCCTTCTAAATTAATACCACACAAAGCCACCTATTTGAAGAGCCTGGAAATTCTCTCCCTACTGATCACTTTCACCTATGGGAAGTGGTGGTGATTACTGTTTTAATGTTCCTCATTTCACCTTGACACCTGTCAACTGAGAAGACCATCAATCATTCCTGCTCTTATCAACAGGTGGCCTTCCAACCACAGTAATTGCCTTATCAATAAAGAGGATGACTTCCAACGTCTTGCTTCAGGGCTAATAAGAAGAGTGCATTCTAGGACATCAGGAGGAGGAAAAAGCAAATATCCTCACTGGACAAATATCAAACATGCCAGAAAACATAGACTATGGTTTCACAGCCTTTGGGCAGAAGCACGATGTACAGCACGGGGGTGGGTAGAGGAGGTGGCCAGGCAAAGAGCCAGGGAGCAAGGCTAAGGGGAAGCAAGGAGTGCAGCACTGCAAAGGTGAGGAAAAGCAGCCCAGAGTGCTCTCCACTCTCGAGGAGACTCCTGGACTCCTACTGCAGACGAGATTAGAGAAAAGAATTGGGGTGGGCCAGGAAGCAGAGAGAAACAGTCACAGTCAGTGTTAAGGGGCACCATTCAGCCCTTCCTCACCTAGGCTGTGCTCATGTGAGTGGGACATTTTCAAGAGAAGCCAGAAAAATCAAACTACCTCATTTTAAATGTCAATTAATTCATTGTATTAAGGTTCACATTATGCAATTAAATTTATTAGGAAAATTAGTTACTATACATCAATTAAGCGATTCTCACTTCTTTGTTTTCCAGATGTTTTATCAGATCTGCTGAGTGCAGGTGAGTCTGGATATGACAGATGTGACCACAAAAATGTCCTCCTACTTGCTTAGAAAACAAATATGGACTTTCAGAAGCGCATGACCACAAGGTATTTCTTACAGATTTTTGCAATCACTCATGTAAGTTTGACCCCCATAATTAGATCCCCCTCCTGAAGGAGATATCTTATGTGTACCTTTTGTTTTCTCCACTGAGCTCTGATTCTTACTACCAGCATTTATTGGATGCTTAGAAAGAATCCCAAATTCAACATGACTTTTTGCTCCCATCAACGCCGCCTTCTGACCCCACCCTCTAGCAAACAAGACATAGGTACACTGCCTCTGTTTTCCTACTTCTGGCAAACGGCACCAACATTCATCTTATTCCTCTCACCAAATGCTTCAGTTCTCCTGGATTCCTCCACATCATTGTTGTACCTGTGACTCAGGCTGTTTTAAAACACAGTGTGTCCAAAGATGTCTGTGGGAATTTGTAATCCACATAGCAGTGGCATTCAACCCCTGCCATCTGTCCCCAAGGATGCTGGTGATGTGGGCATGGGCTCCTCATAAATAACAAAAAGAGCTAATTATAGATTGATAGATGATAGATAGATAGATGATAGATAAATAAATAAATAAATAAATAAATAAATATATATATATATATATATATATATAGAGAGAGAGAGAGAGAGAGAGAGGAGGAGGCGAAAGCCAATTATGGTGGGGATGGGAGTGGGAAGATCCCCCCAGGCCCCATTCTCTTTCTCTTTCAATCATGTCATCCTAAATGGCAACCCCAAGTTCACTATCAGAGCATCTGAGATGTTCCTTATGCAGCTCCTAGACTCTAATTTCCCCTCTTCACCTTTGATTTGATCACGACATTATAAACGACTCAACATGCAAATATTAGGAAGAGGTAACATATCAGCCAATTAATCCACCTGTGTAAACACTTCATATCAGAGTGTACTGGTTTTTATAGAGAGTGAAGAGGTTGCAAAGCATAAGACAACTTATTGTTTGAAGGAGGGGGACTGGGTGGAAAACAGAGGTCATACTGGGACATGGAAGGAGCACATTCCTTGCTTCACATCATGTCACATCATTGTGTCACCAGCCTCATGAGCATTTACGAGTAAAACTCTACAGGGTGCACGTTTATCTTCTACGGTTGTGAATATCTTCTTGCTTATTCAATAGCCCTGTTCATCTCATCTACTCAACAGTTTTGACTGGGGCAGCCACAGTGTCAGAAACTCCCAGCACCACCATGAGACACAAAGCCTGTGACTTCCAGGACTGAGAATGGGGAGAGAATGACTGTAGCAGCTGGTGAGTGTGCTAGTGGAGGGACACAGAAGGAACCTGAGGGCTGGGGAAAGAGACATTCTCAGCTACCCAGTTGCCTTTGAAGAGCACAGTGCACAACACATTTCCCTTTGTGGTTATCCTTGAACCTGGCTAACTGTGTTAGAAAGAAGGCTTAATCTCAAAGGTAATGTATCTGTGGAGAAGCAAAACTAAACTAAAAGTTCTTATAACCGCCCTCTGTTCCCTGTTTTATTAGTTGGGATGAGCCAAAAAGATCACCAATGGCATGAATAAAAATAGATGGTCTACATATCCAATTAGATATTCTATAGATATATTGGAAGGGAGATGGAAATGGAAATTATATGTTGAAATGAAAATATGTTGCCGATTTCAGCTCATCTTTATTTTAAAAAAGAAATTATCACAAGTTGGAAGTTTGTCCTTTTAAACATGGAATCTGAGGTGCTAGGTCTTTTCTTACCTCATGAGCATTTCAGCTAAACTCTTTGCATCTGGGGAGAGAAAGTTAGTATTAGTACAAGATAAATAATTCACGTTCCGCAGTCAGATGACAACAGTCATTTAAAATGTAATTGGATATCCAGATCACTACTAATGACTACACTTTTATGGATTCCTTATTTCTTCTATATGAGACTCTTTTATATCTTTTATTTATTGCAGAAAGATACTATAACTATCCAGTGGCCATAAAATTTCAGATACCTATTAAGGTTTTTATTACCACCTGTTTGTCATTTCTAGAAAACCCAATTTTATTTTCAGCAGTAAGAAAATGAACAGTTTGAAAGTAAGTCATTGATGTGGTATAAACCCCCTCTTTTCATTACCAAAATAACAGAATTAAAAAGCTATGGCACTGTAGCTCACTTTAAAATAGCATTATTATAGAGCTCTGATTCCTTCACGTCGGGCAAAGAATTGCACCCATGGTATACCGCTGTTTGGGGAAAAATAGATGTTTTATTTCAAATTCAGAAATAATACTTTGTTATTCCTTTTTCTCTGAGGACATTGTTTACCAAGACCTGGTTACTACTCCTGACACAAGAAATCCTGCCTAAAAATGTTGTAGAAAAAGTCTACTTATGTGGTAGCAGTGTTTTTGAAATTCTCATTCCCATTGAAATGTAATTTATTCTTTTTAAACATTTCATTCTGGCAAAAATTAATGTTTCCTTTCTTAAGAACACCAAGGTCTTCTTTTTATTTATTTCATTGCCCTTGAGAAGACTTCATGTTAAGTCTATTGTTCAATGAAGAGAACTTTCTGGGAATGGACTCAAAAGACTGTGTGAGTGGCTCTATAGGGAAGAATTACATAGGTTGGAGCATTTTCATGCCATTCTGGGGTGGGTGGAGCTAATGTTTAAACATAATGAGTTTCACATAGGGGAGCAGATACCGTTGAGGATGAGGACAGTTACAGAATAACCCATGCAGGCTGACACCCAATGACCCGAAGCTGGGCCCTTCAAGTCAGCCATGCCGTTCCTGTTGGCAACCTCAACGTGAGTTGGTGCACAGATGGGTTCATTCTGGAAGATGAAACAGGTCCCATCTACTCCACCCACATGGAAAAGCAGAGGAAGTAAAATAGCATTTAATTCCCAGTTCGTGTCTTTATATTTAAATAATACACCTAAAAAACTAGCTAGCATTTGTTGCCCTTAATGCAGAGAAACTAAAGCAGATACCTTAAAGCAACTGAGGCCAATAGGAAAAGGGGACCAGGAACTAGAGAAAAGGTTAGATTAAAAAGAATTAACCTAGAAGGTAACACCCACGCACAGGAAATCAATGTGAGTCAATGCCCTGTATAGCTATCCTTATCTCAACCAGCAAAACCCCTTGCTCCTTCCTATTATTGCTTATACTCTCTCTACAACAAAATTAGAGATAAGGGCAAAAAAAAAAAAAATTCCCAGTTCGTGTCTTTATATTTATCTGCAAAGATGAAGTAAATAGAATGAATTTCTTCTCTTCCTGAATGACTTAACACTTATAAAGTAAATATATGTATGAAATGCCAGAAGCTCGGGATTAATTAGTTCCATGTAACCACCAACAGTAGCTAGTACAATACTCCAACAAAGAGGGAAAAAATCCAAGAAGTAAAGCTTGTCTTCAGCTCACACTTGGCATGTAACTGAATAGACTGCCTCCCTCGCTTGCACAATACAAGCTTGGTCAGTCATCAGCTTATTCTCCTGTGATCTTTTCACACCAATGCACTGTTCCCACAAGTGAGAACAGAGCTCTCTCTCAATCCTTTGAGCTCTAGCTGCACAGTCCTCTTGTCTGTAGCCTGCAGGTGTCTTTCCTGGGCTAAGCTCTCCCACAGCCTCTGGCACCCAAAGCCACACTTAACACTTGAGAACAGATCCCTCCTCCTTCTGCCTTAGCTACTCTGTCTTCCTTCAGTTTCATCTGGAGTTTTGAGAGCATTTATATTAGTGGAAATTCTCTTCTATGAGTTTCTCCTTTGGGTAAGCTGAGAGGCTAGAGTTTAAAGCACCGTGATGGGATCTGGATGACCAGGGAAGGCTGGGGTGACCATTGAGCATGTCCTGGGGATATGGATCATGTGGTTACTTTAAGACTGCTGGCTGGAGTCCCTTTAATGTCAACCTCAAATGGGATCATTATGCCCATTTTGGAGACAAGGAAACTGGGCCCCAGATATGCCAAGTGAGCATGAAAATCCAATGTCTGTGATTTAAACATTTTCACCACTGTCCTCAGTCCTTTCACAGAGTGGGACTGTTTTGGAGTTGGATAGAGTCAGATCCATGAGGACACATAAAGGAGCAGACAACTGGCTCCAGTGGGATGAGGGAGGTGATCTGAGGAAAGCAATGCGTCAGGCTGGGTCAGTCTGGAAAGATGTAGACTAGTGATCCCTGCCTGAAAGGAACATGGAACTTGGGGGTGGGTAGGGCTTAGACCTGAATGGGCTATGTGTTCCACACAGAGAGCTCATGGAATAGTGAGTTTGTATGGGAAGTAATATCAGTTTCACCGGATCAAAAAGTGGCCAGGGTGGTGGTGAATGCAGGTAGCCAAGATATTACGGAGGTAAGGAGAGAAGACTTCATGTGACAGGCTATAGTCTGAAGAAAGAGGTGATGGTGGTGGCAGAGAGAGAGGGTTCTGTGAACTCCAATTCAACAGGCTATTCAAAGAGGCTGTGGTGGGGGTGCTGGGTGCTGGGACCATGAACAGTTCCTTACAAGGGTACAAGTGAGAAGCTGTGGGGTGGGATTAGAGAGCTGAGGGGTATGAGGGTGACATGTGGCGTGACCATAGAGTGAATCTGCAAGAATTACAGCTCTACTGGGTGTGGAGGGGACATTGCAGATGGACTTCAGTAAGTTCAGGAAACATGGCAAGATTGAGGATCTGCAGGGGAGGGCAGGAAAGAAGACTAAAAGGACAGGAAGGCAGAGTTGGGCAGAGGGCTGAGGTGTCTGTTTCAAAGCTGGGGCCATTCAGAGGCAGATTTGCAGTCCAGTTGGTGAGAGATGCAGGGCAGAGCTGAGGGCTCTGGATGCTGTTCACACTCACACAGGGACAGTGTGAAGAGAAGGTGACAGTATCTCAGCTTAGACACACTTGTTTAGGGGTGAGAGAGAGTTGGCAAGTTATTAAAATGTGTTAAAATCCTAGAGTCAATCCTAGAATGAAGAGCAACGAAGACTTTCAAGTCAGGTTCCAAATGAAATTTGGGATCCCTTCTACAGTGTCTCAGACAGATGTGATATGTTCTGACTGTGGACCTCCGAGAGCTGAGTCCATCAGCCTCTCTAGTGATGGTTGATGGTGCTGCTGCAGATCAAGCCCCACCTGTCTCCTCAGGACTCCAGGTATGACCTGCCTCCCACCTGGATCCCTTCCCATAGGGCCCTCCCTTTTGTCCTTTCTCCTCAACTCAAATTTCACAGACTAATCAACATTTCCCACTCCCCATTCCCCAAACTCCATGTGATATTGCAGTTCAGGAAGGAAACAGGTCTGAACAGTGCTCACTGAGAATACCTGTGTCTTATTGGACATACCTGTGCTTTGAGACTTTTAAAGTAACTCCCTGCACCTATGCCCTTTAATTCAGAGCAGGACCTTCCATACTGGTCCTAGCTGTCTTTCAGCTCTTGTCTCCTGCTTGGACCTCCAGTTCTTTCTCTCAATTTCCTGCACTTGCCACTTTCTGTGGAGAACTCCTGATATCACTCCTGCAAAGCCCCCTGCCTCTGCAGATGCAACTTGCTCTGTGTTCCCTCCCAGGCCCAGTAGGCAATCAACACACTGGTTCTATGGCTTCTCTGCAGCTACAGCTAAATCGCTTCTCTTACCTCAGACTGTGACCACCTGTTTCCATGCTGCCTCTCTCTTGGTCCTTCCTCTTTATCTCTTGGATATAGCCCAGACCCTAGTAGTTGGGGAAGCCACACAAAGTTTTCCCAAGGCTACATTTAATTGTGAGAAACACCCTCCTTCTCTGGAGCTGAAATCTCGATGTACTTTCTACCTATCCATAATGATGACACCTTCTGGAACCATTGGCAAGCCATTCAAGTTTTCTTCTGGAGCTGCAATTCCTTTGCTTGGTTTCAACTTCTTCTTTCCCAGGATAAATTCTATAAAATTCTCAGCCTATGAGAATAGGGCATGGTTTCTAGGTAATTATTTACTTGAGACTTTCTTCTATGAAAGACCTGTGGTTTCTTACTGTCTTTCACTCAATGAAGCAAGCACAAACACTAGCAATTTTTTATATTCTCCCCTTGTACCCTAGTTAGGGTACAACACTCATTACATATGAGCATGGATTTTCACAACTTTACAGTTATCTTGATTAAATTCAATCCTCTTGACTCTAGCCTTTCAAAATATCTTAAAGTTTGAATTCCTTGCTCTACAACATTAACTTTTCCCACCTGGGTATGAGCCTGGGACAGCCACCTGTGGTGTCAGCTACAGTCTGGTGCTCCATTATCAAACCTTCAAATCACAGGTGGGGTTCACTAGATGCCACTAGACATCCAGTGGCCCCTGTCCTGTCCTGGTTGCTTATAAATCATCTCTCAACTGACTTGTCTTGATTTTTAAGGGCCAGAATTTATTGTTTCGAGATGGGCACAGAGTACAATCACATAACACCTTTAAGTTGCCTTTAATTATTCAAAGATTATCCACAAATGTCTTGGGATTAGGTCTGGGATAATTTTGTTCAGAAACCAGAGATGCTTTCCTTTGAGGTCTCTCAGGATTGGAACCCCATGGCACCTTTCCTAATCTCCCCAGTGGTGGTGGGAATCTTTCCCTTCAGAGAACTATCACAGCACTTGTGGTGTCCACATTTTGTTACTTGTCATTTGGAACGTGCATAATTGTTGTTTGTCAATGTTATTTGAAAACTGATGTTGAAAATCTCCTCTTCCCCCAGTAATGGCTAGTGCATAGTATGTTTTGAAGGAATAAAATAATTTAA